AGGTTGTAATGCAACAAAATAGGAAAAACCCCAAGGGGGATGAATACTTTTGCAAGGCACTGTACTAACTTGTGCCTTCAACAGCCTTGTGTCTGAAGGAAGACTAAAGTGCTTGTTATTTCGATGCTGACATGAAATATGTAGGCCACAAGGGGTCAGGATTGCTCCACTATCTTGTTTCATTTAAGTTTTACATTGGAATACCTGCCAGATAATTCATAATATGAAATCTTTTTTTATTTTATTGTTGCGCTTGTAAAAATATATTTATGTTAGATATAAAAATGTCACACTTATGTACATAAGAACTTGCTTGACTGAAGGCTGAAGAAATTTGGCCTGCCACCTAAAACCCTCACAAACTTTTACAGATGCACAATTGAGAGCATCCTGTCGGGCTGTATCACCGCCTGGTACGGCAACTGCACCGCCCACAACCGCAGGGCTCTCCAGAGGGTGGTGCGGTCTGCACAACGCATCACCGGGGGTAAACTACCTGCCCTCCAGGACACCTACAGCACCCGATGTCACAGGAAGGCCAAAAAGATAATCAAAGGCAACTACCACCCGAGCCACGGCCTGTTCACCCCGCTATCATCCAGAAGGCGAGGTCAGTACAGGTGCATCAAAGCTGGGACCGAGAGACTGAAAAACAGCTTCTATCTCAAGGCCATCAGACTGTTAAACAGCCACCACTAGCACAGAGAGGCTGCTGCCTACATACAGACTTGAAAATCACTGCTTGTGGAACTGTTCATAAATGGAACACTAGTCACTTTAATAATGCCACTTTAATCATGTTTACATATCTTGCATGACCCATCTCATATGTATATACTGTATTCTATACTATCTATTGCATCTTAGCCTATGCCACTCTGATAATGACATTGCTCATCCATATATTTATATATTCTTATTCCATTCCTTTACTTAGATTTGTGTGTATTAGGTTTTTGTTGTGGAACTGTTAGATATTACTTGCTAGATATTGCTGCACTGTCAGAACTAGAAGCACAAGCATTTCGCTACACTTGCAATAACATCTGCTAACCATGTGTATGTGACCAATACATTTGATTTGATTTTGATTTGACTGTGCATATAAAAAGTATTTGACAAGTCTGTAAATATCAAGCTTTAAAATAGACTAATGGATGCAAAGTTCAGGTGGGGGAAAAAACTATCTTTTTATTTCCAATTAAAATTATATTAAAAATAAAACATTGTCAATAGGTGCATTTCTAGGTTGTTGTTGACTATTTTAGATTGGTGTAATATTGCCCTTGTACATCCTTGTGTCTAAAAGACATAACAGTGAAAATCTAAAACCATGTGTCTGGGAATCATCTACTACTTAAAATAACTAATGCACCTATTAAAATGCTGAATATGAGAACAAAAATTGCCAGATGAAAGAATCTAGGGAAGCATGAGACCAGAAATGTTACCAGACAATGTGGTCTAACAGAAGGTTGGCTATAGTGAAATATGCCTCCTCTAGCAGCCCACCCCACATCATGTTTCACATTATTTCAAATGCACTACAAGTATCATGATCAATTCTATCTAATGTAGGCGTCTACCCACACAAAACATAAATAATATGGTCCCTTTTCTCAGCATTGAAAAATTCAAACAGTTTGTCTTGAAATAAAATAATTAAGTATCCCTGTGAAGACAATAAAAGCATATAGCATATGTTAGCTCTGACTGCATTGGTGTAACATGTTGACAATTTACAATGATACCAGTGTTAAGTACTGTTTACTATCCCTATCCACTAACTCCACCGCGAGGACAGACGGGTTAGTAAAGCTAGTGTCCATGCAGCCTTCGGCTCAATTGGCTAACATGGCAAGCCATGACACTCACCATCTCAGATTGTTCTGAAATCGTTTCTGTAATTACAAACCGATAAGATTAGCATTCCTGCAACATTATTTTGTTGACATTTAATTTGATCTGACAAATTAAGTTAATTGATTGCACCCAAATTGGTCCTTTAAAATTTTTTAGGATTCACATAATATTCAACAAATATAGTACAACATCCAATTGGAACCAAACTTCTTCCTACCATTACGTAAGACATGAGGAATCCAATAAAGTGGGAAAAAGCCACCAATGGAACCCCTACACCAACAACCAGTATACAGTATCAGTTCTCTATGTCTGACAAGTAGTATGGAGCTGCGGCTTGGAGCATTACTTGTTGTGGGGGGGTCCTGATCCTGCGAGCTTACATTGAACTTACATATCCATGCAACGTTTAACATTTTTACATTTACATTTTAGTCATTTAGCAGACGCTCTTATCCAGAGCGACTTACAGGAGCAATTAGGGTTAAGTGCCTTGCTTAAGGGCACAGACAGATTTTTCACCTAGTCGGCTCGGGGATTAGAACCAGCGACCTTTCAGTTACTGGCACAACGCTCTTACCCACTAAGCTACCTGATCAGGCGGCTTTGCGAGGCTAGGTGGGTGGCTTTTGATCATTTTATTGGATTCCTCATGTCTTACTCATTGTTAGGAGGAATTATGGTCCAAATCGGATGTTAGGTACTATATTTATTGACGATTATATGAATCCAATAAATAAAAACAATGGGCATTTTGGGTGCAATCAATTAGAGGCCCAGTGCAGTTAAATATGAGGTTGGAATAACACCGTGAAATGATGATAATGCCCTTCTAGTTTAAGAGCTGTTTGAAAAGACTATACCCTGATGAAGACAGCTTGTCTGTCGAAACATTGGTTATTAGGATATTAAATTATTGCATCTGAGCTCCTAGAGTGTGCGGCTTTCCTTTTCTTTTTGAACTGTTTGAAAAGACTGCCTGAAATTTCTGCCTGGGATGGAGTTTTGGCCTGCTTGGTGACATCACCAGGTGGTAATTTAGTTAATAGACCAATAAGATAGAGTTCCAAACATCTCTGCCAATAACAACTAGTTCAGGTTTCCCTTCCCCACTGGGACCACTCCCCAAATTCTTGCTTGAGAAATGGCGCTTTGCTAAGAAGCTATTTTTGTTTATTTTTGACCATTTTAATTTAAAACAATCACAGTAATGTACTTAATTGTCACCCAGAAAATATTTGAGTTTGAGATAAACATGGCTGCATTGGACCTTTAATTTCTCAGAGATCAAATTATATTTCAACAAAATAATGTTTCAGGAATGCTAATCTTATCTGTTTCTAACTACAGAAATGATTACGGCACAATCTGAGATGGTGGTTGTGGAAATCCTCTTACTAAGTGCTTTTTGAGGTGGAACGACCCTCATCCCTGTTTATTCAAGCTGAACCCAGAAATCGCCCACAACAGCAAAGGGAATGCGTGCAGGATTACACTTTTTGCCAAAGATGATTGCATGATAAGCTGTGGCTTGAGTAACTTTCACAGACTCCAAATTCATAATCACGGCATAACTGCGACAGTTCTGGATCACATAATAATAATAATAAATTACATTTGTAAAGCACTTTTCATTAAACAGAATAATCTCAAAGTGCATAAAATTAATTTAAAATCAAATATAAAACCATTTCTTGGGACAACTAGACAGGGCAACTGACACAAAGAACACAGCTGACGCTATAAGTGACAAGGACACCAAAGAGCCCAGCTATCTTTATCGAACTCTGCATTGTTGGAAAAGGACTCGTAAGTAAGCATTTCACTGTTAGTCTACACTTGTTTACAAAGCATGTGACAAATACAATTAGATTTGAAAGCCTTCCTAAAGAGAAAAGGACTTTAGGCCCATTTTAAAGGAGCCCAGAGTGTGGTGCCTTCAGGTGGTCCGGGAGGGCATTACAGAGGCTTGGGGCGGTCTGATCCCCCAAGGAGCTGAGCTTGGTCCTGGGGGCGTGGAGGAGCAGGCTATCGCTTGCCCTAAGGGTGCAGGTGGAGTTATGGAGGGAGAGTAGTTATTTTAGATAAGGAGGGGCATTGCCATGAATACACTGGAAAGTCTGCAGGAGGGTCTGTAATGAGACGGGGAGCCAGTGCAGACATGCCAGGATGGGGGTGATGTGATGGTGCTTCCTCACTCTCATCAGGATCCTGGCAGCACTGTTCTGGATGTACTGGAGGCTCCTGCCTGGAATCCCGATGAAGAGTGCATCGCTGTAGTCCAGCCTTGAGGAGATAAAGGCATTGATGAGCTTCTATGCATCAGACTGAGTGAGGGTGGGACAGAGTTTGGCGATGTTCTTGAGGTGATAGAATGACACTTTACAAAGTTGTTTGATGTGGCGGTCAAAGATCAGGTAGGAATCAAGCTTTACACCCAGATTGGAAACTGAGGGGGAGAGAGGGATGTTCTGTCCTGCTATGGTGAGGTGTGTTATTGGTGAGTGCTGAACCTGGTAGGGGGTGCCAACAAGCAGGGTCTCGGTTTTGCTGCTGTTCAGTTGAAGGAAGTTTTGCTTCATCCATGCCCTTATCTCCTCAAGGCAAGTGTTCAGATGGGCACATGCTTCAGAGTGACTTGGGGCAGGTTGGGACACAACCACAACAAGTTATTAGGCCCCTCATAGTCAAGCATACAGCGTTAAGGCATGTGGATTAACTGACAAAATAATTGTCACATTAATGTCATTGGGGCACCACAGCCGGTTGAGTTAAATTGACTAATTCCCTTATAGGCCCAAGTTCCAAATATGAAGTGTGATACACTGGGCTTGTCAGCTTGGGGAAGTTCTCACCCATAGACTCAAGTATTACTGTGCCTTTGAGCACCCTCTGCTGCCCAACAGAGGAAGTTAATCAACGCAAGCAAAGCTTAGCTGGAGGGAGAGGTAGGGATACACAGTGTGAGAATAGGCGAGCAGGGTGAGTGAGAGACTGGTTATGTCTTTGGCAGAAGAGATCCCACTATCCATTGTTCAGGTTCAGAGTGCGTGCAGCAGTAGCCTAATATCTAGGGCTCCATCTCTGGGCTCAGTCTGGTTTGTAGCAGAAGTGAACCCATTGGCCTCACATTCCTAGCTCACTTCTGAGGCCTCAGTATTACCCTCCAGGGTTAATGAGGTGTCCTGCTCCGTACAGTGGCCCTCAGACTCCAGATGACTGCTCTCTTGGATTCCCATGTCCTTTATCTCAACTCCACCACCCACTAGTTCTGAAGCTTCATTCTCCAGGGTTTTCGCTGAGCAACTTTTGACCATGTACAAAATATCCCTGTCCTCTCTGACTTTGACACCATTGGTCCCCTGAGCATTGGGTACCTCAGGTGTGATTTCATCATGTGAGGGATCTCGGTTCGTTTCGGGCATTACGATGTCTGGGTTGTTGCAGACTTTTTCCGCCTCTGTGCGGCCTGTTTGGTGATTGTCCTTCTCGGGAGCTGTCTCCATGTAGCCATTCGTCTCTTGTATTGCATTGTTGTTATTGGCAGAATCCTTGTCGTTGCTCTCCTTATGGCTACTCCCGTCAGATGTTGTTGCCCCATCCCCAAGACTCTCCCCATCCTTTCCATTCATTTCCTCATCAATCTGAACCTCTTGAGTTGTGTCCAGCTGATCATCTACTTGTTGAATGTCCAAGGGAGCCTTCTTCTTCTGGGTTGCCTCATCGCCACTTTCTACCTCTTGGGTTGCAACACGGACACTTCCTACCTCTTGGGTTGCAACATCTCTACTTTCTACCTCTTGGGTTGCAACATCTCTACTTTCTACCTCTTGGGTTGCAACATCTCTACTTTCTACCTCTTGGGTTGCAACATCTCTACTTTCTACCTCTTGGGTTGCAACATCTCTACTTTCTACCTCTTGGGTTGCAACACGGACACTTTCTACCTCTTGGGTTGCAACACGGACACTTTCTACCTCTTGGGTTGCACCATGGACACTTTCTACCTCTTGGGTTGAGTCATCAACACGTTCCACCTCTTCTGATGTGATCTCATGACACTCTTTCTCTATGCTGATCTCTATGTGGGAGTTCATCTCATCTGTGTGCCCTTGGCTGTCCAACTCAATGGCTGTTTCTGTGTCTATGTTGCTGTCCCCTTCTGAGGTTGTCTTCTCATGACTGATGCCTTCTTGAGCTTCCTCCGCAGGGCTAAGGTCCTCTAGAACTGTCTCCCTTAGGCTATCTCCATCTCGAGGAGTCTCCTCATGGATGTCTAGCTCTGGGCTACTCTGTTTGGGAGGGATTGTCTCTGTAGTTGTGTCTGTTTGGGTCTCTTCCTCAAGGGCCACTTCCGATACACACTCCTTCTCCAGACCTGTGGCCTCTTCCTCAGGTGTCTGCTGTTGACATTCCCCTTGGTGGACCACCTCCTCATGGCTATCTGGGTCTAGGCTACTCTGTTTGGGAGGGATTGTCTCTGTAGTCATGTCAGCATGGCTCTCCTCCTTAATGACCCTCTCAGTCTTCACCTCCACTTCACACTCCTCCTCCAAGCCTTTGTCCTTTTCACAGTGCACTTCCACAGGTGTCTGCTGTTGACAATCACCTTGGTGGTGGATCACCTCCTCATGGTCGAGCCTCTCTGGAGTAGATTCTTCATGGCTGTCCCACTTAAAAATAGTCTCCACTGGGCTGTTTATCTCCAGGACGGCCTCTACCTGGACTACATTGTGGTCCTCCTGGGTGACCTCTGAGGAAAGGGTCTCAGTCTCACTGAGCTGTAACTCCACAGTGTCTATGTCATCGGCATCAGCTAGGAACTTCTCAGTCCGTAGGCCCTCTGGCTCACTGGAGGCGAGGTTCACAGGGTTGAGGGGCTCTTGACATTGCAGAGTAGGTAGATGAGGAGCAGGGCTGTTGGGAAAGAGAAGGCCATAAAGTAACACTACTCAACATGACCTTTATATTGACGTGTAAAACTTGAAATACAAGTATGGGTAACAGATTGATGCTGAGAGTCAGATTTTTCACTTTAAAATGCATGTCAAACAAAAACCAATGATTGCAAAGTTAAACAAACGATACAACTATGCACAAGGACTACTTTTAACATTTTCACAGACATTTTTATAAAAACACATTTACCTAAATAACAGTGAAGACGCACATTTTGGTAATAGAATAATGGTTTGTGCCGTCATTCTGTTACCAAACTTTTCATCTGCACTGTTCTTAGAGTAAATGTGCTTTTGTAAAAATGTGTGGTAATTGTTAAAAGTCGTCCTCATTCTGTTATCGTAGAATTGCCTGTATCTGCAAAGACTTAGGCCGAGATTCAATCCGATCGGCCCCTTTTGGCTCTGCACAATTTATAGGCAAAGTTAACCTAACATTCAAAGTAAACGCTGCAGATGTCGGATCAATCGGAAATTACCTTTACATGTCCATCGCGCTACAATGCAGGTCTTCTGCGGTCCAGATTGAATCCTGGCCTAAAACAATGTGCTCATTGAACACACCAGGAGTTTAAACTCAAACCTACACCTTATTTGTGCCTGTGTGGACAGTTGTACTATTTGATCTGCTGACACTCCAGTCTTACCTCTCCATGGACTCATAAGGAACTGGAGTGAGACTCGACTCCTGGGTCGAGTCCTCTTCCTGAACCCAGCCCTGATTGGACGAGGCATAGGTGAGGATGGCCTCTGTCACAGTGTAGGGTGTGTGGCCCTGCACACAGTCCAGGATGTGACCAACCGGCAGTTGGGTTTGCAGGAAGAGGTGGAGCTGGCTGTCTGACAGACACACTGTCATGCTGCACACTCTGAAGAAAGACAAACAAGGTATGTCAATGCCATGCTCAATGTTGGCTCTTTTTCGTTGACTAGTCATGGTAACATTTTTCCTTTGTGCTCATTCTAGGTGTGACAATGACAAATAGAGGGAACAAGCAAGCACTATAATTGAAATTGTGGAGTCATTGCTAATTATTAACTTCGGAGAAGAACTGACTTGTCCAGGAAGGACTGCAGGCCTTTCCTCCTCTTCTCCAGGAAGTCCTCACCACTGAAGGAGAAGAAGGACTTGCTGGGCAGGTCTGGGACAGGTCTATAGGACAGACAGGGACAGAGAATAACACATAGCTCCCAGAACAGGACAACTTCACATTGGTGTTCGAAATTATTTTTCAAACAAGCAGTTGGGGGACAATGCTATGACTTACACCAAGCCAGTGTTCTTCTGCATCCTCTTCTTGAGCCAGACAAACTCACTGTAGCGCCGGCGCACACAGGACGTTTTGGCCGTGAAAGACTTGCTGTTGGTCTGTGAGTAAAAAGAGATGGTGCACCATTACATCCTGTGGATACAGACAACGCCAATGGGAGTGAAAACATAAAGCCCAAACTAGAGAGCTGGGCGATATGGACAAAAAGTAATATTGCAATAAATTGCCCCATTTTGCGACAGGGCTCTAGACTGACTTTTTCCAGTGCCAGGTAAGACAGGAAATAAGTTATTTATCCATTTAGGACCTGTGTAGCTCAGTTGGTAGAGCATGGCGCTTGTAACGCCAGGGTTGTGGGTTCGTTTCCCACGGGGGGCCAGTATGACACTCTGGATAACAGCGTCTGCTAAATAACTAAAAATAAAAAAAATCTTACATTTTCAGGGAATGCACGATGGATATTTTGATGTGCAACATGTCAAAATAAGACTCAGAATTATCAGATTTCTTTTTGGCTCTTTAGAGATAATTTGCCTGCATATTGTTTGTGCATATTGGCCTAGGCTATATGATACATAATTCACCACTTGAGGAAGTGGGAACTCAAAACACACCAAATATGATATTGCTGCTGGATAGCCATGTAATTGATCTAACAGTCAACATACTCCGTTTGTTTAGCGGTGGTATTTCCTCAATATTGAGTGTAAATACTGTAATAATTTTTTATACTCAGAAAGCTAAGACTCTCCTCAGTAAAAGTAATTGTTTTACATTTTGAAATGTTACTCAACAGTCGTATGCTTGCGCTTATCAGAAAGCATCTCTCCCTTCACTCCGTGCGCAAAGGGGGGAGAGGGAGTGAGAGCCGGCATCGAGACAGGAAATGGCAGAGGAGTTGTAATGCCTTCATCAACTCGATTTTGTGTATAGAGCACACTTCTGGCAAAACAGAATTAAGTTTTCTTCAATTTGCTGCAATGTTGCAAACTAGCATACCCAACAACTCTGCAAAATGTGTCCTACACGGTCGGAAAACAGTGACGAACATAACACGCAGCACCCCTTCTACGATCATGTGGACGGAGGGTTCTTGAAACGTAACATCCAATAAAGATGTAGCCGCTGGAAGCCAGCGGACCATTCTAGCAGTTTCGGCTAATAAAAAATTATCCAGACCTCCAAAGGAAGCGTAACAAACAACGTGATTTCAAGGTATGTATGGTTACGCGAGACTGTTGACCAAATAATGGTTTTAGAACAACAACAAAAAATCGTCAGGAACCTTATGTAGCCTAATCACAGAGAATTATAGAGGTAAGTTAAATTCCTTCGGTATGAGGAGAGCAATGTCGGTGTCAGTAATTGTATCGTCCCAGCTCTTGCCCAAACAACCTTTGTCCCAGTACTGATAACTACACTTAACAAAAATACAAACGCAACATGTAAAGTGTTGGTCACATGTTTCATGAGTTGAAATAAAAAATCCCAGAAATGTTCCATAAGCACAAAAAGCTTATTTCTCTCAAATGTTTTGCACAAATTTGTTTACATCCCTGTTAGTGAGCATGTCTCCTTTACCAAGAATCCATCCACCTGACAGGTGTGGCATATCAAGAAGCTGATTAAAACAGCATGATCATTACACAGGTGAACCCACTTTAAAATGTGCAGTTTTGTAACACAACACAATGCCACAGATGTCTCAGGTTGAGGGAACGGGCAATTGGCATGCTGACTGCAGGAATGTCCACCATAGCTATTGCCAGAGAATTGAATTAATTGAATTTCTCTATTATAAACTGCCTCCAACGTCGTTTTAGAGAATTTGGCAGGAGGTCCAACCGGCCTCACAACCGCAGACCACGTGTAACCACGCCAGCCCAGGTCCTCCACTGTAAGGGTGGGGGGGGTGCTGAGTATTATTTATATCTGTAATAAAACCTCATTCTGATTGGCTGGGCCTGTCTCCCCAGTGGGTGGGCCTATGCCCTCCAAGGCCTACCCATGGCTGCACTCCTGCCCAGTCATGTGAAATCCATAGATTAGGGCCTAATGAGTTTATTTCAATTGACTGATTTCCTTATATGAACTGTAACTCAGTAAAATCTTTGAAATAGTTGCGTTTATATTTTTGTTCAGTATATTTGAAAAATATAGATTATTTTGTTGTTGTTGTAGTACATTTGCTGTTGACAGCGCACAACAATGTAGCAGGAGAACCCAACCAAAATCAACACAATTTAGCACTTAAGAAAATCTGAAGCATCAGCCAGTCTTGCCACAGAAAGACACACCCTGCTTCAGAGAAGCTATTTAGTCTTGAGCCATAATCAATTACCCATTGAACTGAGGGTTTCTCATTGATAACATTCTGCTCTAGAAAGATTAACATACACTGAGTATACAAAACATTAAGAACGCCTGCTCTTTCCATGACACAGACTGACAAGGTGAATCTAGGTGAAAGCTATGATCCCTTATTGATGTCACTTGTTAAATACACTTCAAATCAGTGTATATGAAGGGGAGGAGACAAGTTACAGAAGGATTTTTAAGCATTGAGACATGGATTGTGTATGTGTGCCATTCAGAGGGTAAATGGGCAAGACAAAAGATTTAAGTGCCTTTGAACAGGGTATGGTAGAAGGTGCCAGGCACACCGGTTTGTGTCACGAACTGCAGCGCTGCTGGGTTTTTCACGCTCAACAGTTTCCAGTGTGTATCAAGAATGGTCCACCACCCAAAGGACATCCAGCCGACTTGACACAACTTTGGGACGCATTGGAGTCAACATGGGCCAGCATCCCTGTAGAACGCTTTCGACACCTTGTACAGTCCATGCCCCAGCAAATTAAGGCTGTTCTGAGGGCGGAACTCAATATAAAGGAAGGTGTTCCTAATGTTTGGTATACACAGCGTATCTCCTAGAACAGTGGTTCTCAAACCTCTCCTCGGGGAACCCCAGACATTTCATAATTTTGTTGTAGCCCTGGGGTGTAATCATTACGCCGATTGTGTTGGAAAACGTCTGTTGCAAACGAGAGATTCTATTAGACAAATTCAGGTAAGTCCCTCCCCGTTTCATTCCATTTGCTCCCGTTTCGTTCTTAAACAGTTTCCACAATAAATACACCCCTGAACTAGCAAACGATTCACTAATCAAGGGCTTGATGAATAGTTGACCATTTGAATCAGGTGTGCTAGCTAAGGAATAACTTGGCTGAGGGTCCCCCGAGGAGATTTGAGAACCACAGTCCTAGGACACTCATTCAGGTTTCATCAGGAAGTGACTCGACAATGTCGTCCCCACAGTGACTGATTTGGCTAAATGGCTGTTATAGGAGAAAACTGAGGATGGATCAACAACATTGTAGTTACTCCACAATACTAACCTAATTGACAAAGTGAAAAGGAAATCCTGTTAGCAACAAGGCACAAAAGTAATACTGCAAAACATGTGGCAAAGCAACTAACTTTTTGTCCTGAATACAGTGTTATGTTTGGGGCAAATCCAATACAACACATTACACATTACCACCCTCAATATTTTCAAGTATAGTGGTGGCTGCATCATGTTATGGGTATGCTTGTAATCATTAAGGACAGGGGAGTTTTTCAGGATAAATAAATAAATGGAATGGAGCTAAGCACAGGCAAAATCCTGGAGGATAACCTGGTTCAGTATGCTTTCCACCAGATACTGGGAGATTAATTGACCTTGCATCAGGACAATTCACCTTTCGGCAGGTAGCCTAGCAGTTAAGAGCATTGGACCAGTAACTGAAAGGTCACTGGTTGGAATCCCTGAGTTGGCAAGGTGTAAAAATCTGCCGTTCTGCCCTTGAGCAAGGCCGTTAACACCCAACAACAACTGCTCACCGGGCGCCGATGACAAGGACATTGATTAAGGCAGCCCCCCTCTGATTCAGAAGAGTTGAGTTAAATGCAGAAGACTTGGTATCCCCTTACAGTAACTTAAAACACAAGGCCAAATCTACACAGGAGTTGCTTACAAAAACGACAGTGAATGTTCCTGAGTGAACCAGTTACAGTTTTGACTTAAATCTGCTTGAAAATCTATGGCAAGACCTGGAAATGGTTGTCTAGCAATGATCAACAACAAATTTGACAGAACTTGAAGAATTTTGTAAAGAATAATGGGCAAATGTGGCGCAATCCAATCTACTAAGCTGTATGGAATTGTTTTAAGAAGGTGATACCAAGGATCATTTAGCTATTTCATTTAGCATTTTAAGACCCCTTGAAGTATCACCTTGGCCCTTACTGCTATTAGCCCATACAAACGCATTGAATAACAAATTCACTACATGGAAAAACAGATATACCCCTTATTTTTGGCACTAAACAGTCTCATTTTTTCTTTTTTCTTTTTTTTTTTACTGTTACCGGGGAACCTTCAGATGAGTCTTGTGAGGCCTGTGGGCGTCCTAGAGCAACCGACATGTACGTGTTTGTGTGAGTCTCACCTTTCCACAGAGGGGTCATATTAGTGTGTAGCCCAAACTGTTTGGACGCTACAGACTGAAGTTGGCAGATCGGCTGTACCGACTTCAGACGAGTCCCAAGACGCTTGTGGGGGTCGTAAGGCAAAACGGAGAACACCATCGTGTTCGTGAGAGTCTCATCTTTCCAGAGAGTGGTCATATTTTATAGGCCAAACTGTTCGGACACTACAGGCGACTTTGTGAGAAGACCGGTTTTTCGGGATCTCATGAACTGACAAACACCACTCTAGCTCCGTCACCTTTCAGCGCAGATGCGGAAGTGCGACATCGGTGGATGCGGTGGATTGAGACGCATCCAATGCAAAAAAATAACATCTCTAGCTTAAACTGACATTTCTATGGGGATTTTTTCCTTATGCTAATTAGATTTCCGCGGGGCGCAGACATCGACTCTAGGGAGTTAATTGGGGTGTGAACACTTTCTGAAGGCACTGTAAATGCATTTTATGCTCGCTTTGAGGTAAACACCACCAAGCCAAGCGTGAGGGCCCCCGCTGGTCCGGATGACAGATTTCACTCGCCGTGGCTGTAATCATGCTTTGCTCATCTCCGTAGCGCACATCTGTAATCATGAATTACTTTAAAAGGCTGGTCATGCCACACATCAACACCATCATCCCAGATACCCTGGACCCAATCCAATTTGCATACCGTCCTAACAGATCCACAGATGATGCAATCTCAATTTCACTTCACACTGCTCTCTCCCACCTAGACAAATTGAATACCTATGTGAGAATACTGTTCATTGACTACATCTCAGCGTTCAATACCATAGTCCCCTCCAAGCTCGTCACCAAGCTCAGGAACCTGGGACCGAACACCTCCCTCTGCAACTGGATCCTGGACTTCCTGATGGGCCAACCCCAGGTGGTGAGGGTAGGTAACACCTCCGCCACGCTGACCCTCAACACTGGGGCCCCCAGGGGTGTGTGCTTAGTCCCCTCCTGTACTCCCTGTTCACCCACAACTGCGTGGCTACGAATGACTCCAACACCATAAAGTTTGCTGACCACACAACGGTTGTAGGCCCCCCATCCACAAGGCTGTAGTGGAGCGGGTCAAGAACTTCAAGTTCCTCTGTCCACATCACTGAGGACTTAATATGGTCCACACACACAGTCGTGAAGCGGGCACAACAGTGCCTTTTCTCCCTCAGGAGGCTGAAGAGATTTGGCATGGGCCCCCAGATCCTCAAGAAGTTCTACATCTGCACCATCGATAGCATTTTGACTGGCTGCATCACCGCCTGGTATGGCAACTGCAATGCCCTTGACCGCAAGGCTCTACAGAGGGTGGTGCGGACGGCCCAGCACATCACTGGGGCCGAGCTCCCTGCCATCCAGGACATTTATACCAGTCGGTGTCTGACGAAGGCCCAGAAAATTCTTCAGACACCCAAGCCATGGACTGTTCTCTCTGCTACCATCTGGCAAGCAGTATCAGAGCATCAGGTCTCGGATGAACAGGCTCAGAGCTTCTACCCCGAAACAATAAGACTGTTGAATAGCTAATCAATGGCTACCTGGACTATCTGCACCCCACTCTACCTGCACTGACTATGCACACTCTCAGGTCTTTATCCACATCCTCACACACACACACCATATACGCTACAGCTACTTTTCACTTTTATTATTATCTATCCAGATGCCTAATCACTTTACCCCTGCCTACATGTACATATCTGTCTCAATTACAACATATACCTGCAAAGTGATATAGTATTGGTACTCCTTGTATATAGCTTACATTCTTGTGTTTTTGTCATGTGTTTTTTTTTTCTTTATTTAACGCTACATCGTTGAGGAAGAGCTTGTAAGTAAGCATTTCACTGTAAGGTCTACACCTGTTGTATTCGGGACGTGACAAATACAATTAGCATTTTACTACATTTTCTCCTGAGGACTCAATCAAGCAATTCACCTGAATCCATTCTACTTAGGCTAATGTCAGAAAGGGACAATGATGGTACATATTAAGAATTATACTTCACCTGCAGTATTCCATTGAATGTTTACAGAGAACAAATTCAATACTAGATTGTCAAGAAATTTGAATGAAGCCCAATGTTAATCCTCCAGTCTCTCTAGCTAGCGCAACATTTGGTTATGGCTTCGAGAATAAGCCTACATTAAAATAGCTTGATGCTGGCTTAGCCCTTCATTAACATGCGTCAAACATCATGGGGAGAGAAAAGTCAACAGCAGAGATGAACAAAAAGCATATGATCATTGTAGAATTCGTACCAACAAATGTTGTTTACCTCCATGCAGGGTACCAAGGTTTGAGTGCTGACACACAGCATTCCAAACCACATGCCATCCACTTTAGGGATATGATCTAGGCCTATTTGCTGATGGGAGTAGTAGGGCTGTGCGATGTGGTTTTACGGTATTTTATTATATTAATATGATTTTTAATAATAAAAGTTCTACATTTGCTTTATGAGTAATGCGTGACCCTACGGTGGCAACACACAGTGGTGTGTACTCATGGATGCCAAGGGAAGCCAGGCTTCCCCCCAAAAATGTACCTACAAAAAAAATATATATATATCTGTTTGTGATTCATAATTTTCCTTCAATTCGCTAGAGGCTGAATGCATCTCACTGGAGAAAGCATCCGAGCAAGCGAAACAGCGCCCCTCCGTCTCTGTATGTGTAGGCCATCTATCTGATGCTGTCTGGTCCAAAAGAGTATGACATTATGACAAGAGCTGACATACCGCCAGCGAGCATTTGGCCTCCCTTGATCAATTAGCGTTGAGCTAAACTGAGTGACCTCAACTGTGAATGGTCCTGGCGCACCACAAAACATTGTCAAGGGAAGCCAGTTTGGATTTGGCGTCGCTCCTATCAAATCGCATTGAGAGCATACGTCATTGACAGAAACAACTTGAATTGTTGCATGTCGTTGTGTTGTTGTCTTTCGGTGGATAGCTAGCAAAAAATGGCCCTTTCCTAAATTAGCCATAGATTGAGATAGGGATTTGGACTTGTGGTTTTACTTAATTCTCTGTACTGGCCAATGATTATGAAGGCGATTCTGATCATTCATACATTGTGCCCCCTGGCCTGAGAGGATGGAAGTTCAATATGTAGCTAGATGTAGAAGGCTAATGTTAACTAGCTAACGTTGCCCATGAAAGAAAGTTAGGCTAGCAAACAAGCATTTTAGCCAGGTAGCCTAGGACAACCAAAAATAAAAGCGTGTACTGTATGACAGAGTCATAGACCGTTTCGCCAACGTGAAAGAGGAGGATGGCATTGGCCTTTCTCTACAATTAGGGTGAGTCAACATGTTTTTTTCTACTTACACAAACACACACGCACACAGGAATCAACCATGGGCAGCCACATAATATTTAGCTTATGTTGATTGGACTAAATAGTTTCTGGTGACTTTTAGTTGTCACTGTATTAGACTAAGCATACAGTGCAAGCTATGTCAGGTTGGATGGGGTGCGTCGCTGCACAGCTATTTTCAGGTCTCTCCAGAGATGTTTCATCGGGTTCAAGTCCCGGCTTTGGCTGGTCCACTCAAGGACATTCAGAGACTTGTCCCGAAGCAACTCCTGCGTTGTCTTGGCTGTGTGCTTAGGGTCGTTGTCCTGTTGGAAGGTGAACCTTCGCCCCAGTCTGAGGTCCTGAGCGCTCTGGAGCAGGTTTTCATCAAGGATCTCTCTGTACTTTGCTCCGTTCATCTTTCCCTCGATCCTGACTAGTCTCCCAGTCCCTGCCGCTGAAAAATATCCCCACAGCATGATGCTGCGACCACCATGCTTCACCGTAGGGATGGTGCCAGGTTTCCTCCAGACGTGACGCTTGGCATTCAGGCCATAGAGTTCAATCTTGGTTTCATCAGACCAGAGAATCTTGTTTCTCATGGTCAGAGTCCTTTAGGTGCATTTTGGCAAACTCCAAGCGGGCTGTCATGTGCCTTTTAATGAAGAGTGCGGCAGGTAGCTTAGTGGGTAAGAGCGTTGTGCCAGTAACCGAAAGGTCGCTGGTTCTAATCCCCGAGCCGACTAGGTGAAAAATCTGTCGATGTGCCCTTAAGCAAGGCACTTAACCCTAAATGCTCCTGTAAGTCGCTCTGGACAAGAGCGTCTGCTAAATGACTAAAATGTAAAAAATGTAAATGTAAGAGTGGCTTCCGTCTGGCCACTACCATATAGGCCTGATTGGTGGAGTGCTGCAGAGATGGTTGTCCATCTGGAAGGTTCTCCCATCTCCACAGAGGAACTCTGGAGTCTGTCAGAGTGACCATCAGGTTCTTGGTCACCTCCCTGACCTCCCAGTGATTTTACCCACGCACCGCTACTGGCAACGAATATATTCTAAGTGATGTCAATGGGTCTTCCTCCATTCTGATTGTTTTATACTGTTCAATTCAACTTCAACCTAAAATAATTTCCTGCATTTCCATCAATTTCTGCCTTTACTGCAATCATTTTAGATAATTTCCACACTGCCACGTAGGGCTGCACGATATGGGCAAAAAAACTAGGCCTTATTTTTAACCAAATGTTACAATTGCGATTTGACTTGCGATTTAGATCAAAACACTTGGGTGAACTGTTGGAATCATGGAAATATAATATTTATTCTAATTCTATAGTTAGAATATAAATAATAGTCGCCACTTTGAAGACAGTGTTGTTTGACATGACAATGAATGAAAATGCCAGGGACAGGGTAGGAACCAAAGTGATGTTCAGTGTTTCCTAGGGGACCATATAATCTTTGGCTACATCAAATGTTTCTTCATGTAGCCAACATATTCAAGCTTCGCTTATTCCGCTTTGATTTAGAAGATACTGTTGCACAAACAACATGCTGATTTAGACCACACCAGCAGTGGTATCAGGCTGCATTAGCTATCTACGTTTGCTCTGACTCAGTACATTTATTAGCTAGCTAGCCAGCTAACTAGCGATTAGCATTAGCGGCTAACAGGATTTAGCTCAAACTTGCTAAGAAAAGACAAACCAGCTGTTTGCAGATGTAAGAAACACAAACTAATAGTGTAATTATAGAACGCTTGTGGATTTATATTAAGAAGCTATGTGGAAACAACACCGTTGTCATCAACATTGTTGCATGTGCTGCATTGACCATGCAGACTGAATGCAAGTGTCTCCTAATCAAGCAACAACAAATGCGCTCCTTGAGTGACAGGGGGCGGGGCTAGGTCTGTGTGGAAAACAGCATGGAGAGTGTGTGGAGAGGGATGACTCAAGTACCGGTGTATACTATAAAAATGGACGTTACACACTGCATATCACATTTAACAAACCAAACATTCAAATACCGTTATAGAAGGTACAGTAAAAACCCAGACAGGTCCGTGCCTCAATACCGGTATATTGTAAAATACGGTATACCGCCCAGCCCTAGTCATTTTGTTTTTTCTGATCCTGACTCATCTATGACAAATGCATACAATGAGAGTCTTAAGTAATTTCAAACTAACCCTTTCCAAGACTTGGGTTCTACAGCTCTAATATGGCCTAAGGACTTACACACTCATTGAGACAACTGCTTCTTTGTAAAGTTTAGCCTGTTTATGGTGAATGGATACTCACGTGAAGAAATATCTTGAAGTCCACGTACGAGTTCCAAGAGCCTTCATTCTGAACCCGAGGGTCTTGGACCCGCACTGCAACAAACTCCTGCGGAGACAATCAAAGAAGTGGTTTCACTAACAGAGGGAACCACAGGCAGTTAGTGTAGCTAAATTGGTGAATCAACAGCTTGAGCAGTGCAATGAGGAAGTGATTCCAAGTCATGGATGGCTCTAGACCCACTTCTGTATATCCTTTTTTCACCCAACAATTCTTTGTTAACCTGAGTGGAGAAGAGGGTCAGGGTAAAAGAGCAGCGAATGAGGGTAACTTACATCTTCTTCGTGATTCTTCATCATCCTTCTGTAGGCTGCACAGGAGACATCTGCCAAACAAAGAAGAAACCAAAGATTATCATTATCAACAACTCAGCAAGTGGGGGAAAAAACTCAGCCAATGCTTCTCTTCCGCAGGTTGTACCGCTCAAGTCTCTATAAAGTACTCGCATGTCTCATCCTCTACTATTAGGAGGACAACGTTTCAGGGCCACAATAAGTTGCGAAAAATGTATACAAGGATAACATCTCACATGCAGTTAGTATTAGACTTCTCTCTGTCTTTGATGTTAGCCATGGTTGGGAACAGAAGAGACGCCTGGGATGAACTCCTTCATTTGCCCTTTGTCCTGAAGACAAACCCCCTCCTCTTTATAGTACAGACACTGCATTGGCAAAAGGTTTAACTCCCCCACCACCAATCACTCCCCACTCCTGTGTAAGAAAAGGATTTGCAATCCATGATGATTTGATACATGGAAGTCTTTGACTGTAGCCACATTCTATAAACGAATTTTCATAAAATTCAAGTCACTCTGACACTAACAGTTAGTCTAGCTCTAGCTGGCAAATGTGTGGGTAACAAACCAACTGATTAATTATGTTTTGGATTGATAACTAATGCAAGGCTAGTTACTTACTTTCATGTGGTAGTCAGGGTATCTCAAACGTCTTCATAAAAAACTTGTTTTGAAAGATCCACAAATAATTATCTAGTTAGCTATTTAGTTTGCAAGTAGTAAGAAGTACAGCTATAGCAAACGTTAGCTAACTCTGCTGAGCTATTCATGAGTCGGAGTTTTTCGTACAAATGATGTCATGTCACTCTCGTTCACCGGGATCTTGGAAAGTACATTGACTGTGCACTACCACAGATCTGTATCTTTAGTAACGCTCTCCGTCAACAATTTTGTCGAACTCCAATAAAAGTCTTACAATGCAAAGATCTGTGAAACTCGGCGCAGCTTCAACGCAATTTGTGTTAACTCTGTATATAGCGAGCAATAATATCTAAGTACTTCCGGGTCACGGATTTCTTATTTCTCTTCTTGTATCATGGCGTTCGCACATTTTGTTTGTGAATGCCTCCGCTTACGGTAGTGTGTGTTCAATGACGTTACATTTGTGATACAAAAATAAAAAGGAAGGGGGAAAAAATATTTTAAAAATTGCACCACCAACCAATCCTACATCTATATACCACTGTTTAATAAAAATAAAAATAAATCTCAAAACATCTTATAACTCAACTCTCGTACACCCAGGTACCTCTCTGCAGCTGCCACCTACACTAATTAAAAATCCGCTACCCCATTCCACTACTTTGACCCCATCTGTTCCTGCACAATGCCAACGGCCTGGGAGGACCGGACACCACCACTCAACACACCCTGTAACTGAAGTCAAATCTCGTATACCCTAATACTTCTCTGCAGCTGCCACCAAAACATATATTTTCTGTGATTTAAATTCAATTTCTGCAGTACAGCTGATAACCATTGCTATGAACGCTAAGAAGTCAACCTTACTGAAGCATAAATCACTCGTTGGCCTATCCCTCTGTGTTGGCAAAATCTACTACTCACTGGCATCCTCTCATGATCCCTCACCCTTGACCCAGCCACCTCTACTTTCTTCACTGCCTCAGCATAGGACACCTTCTGCACTACTCAGACTCTGGCCACTTCAACCTGCCTCTCTTGCACCGGACACTTCAGATCCCCAGCAACATGGGCCACCCTACAGTTGACACACACAACTTTATCCCCGAAACTACACAATCCTCTCTCCCATGCCCTCAATTTATGAAAAATGATTGCAGTCAAATCAAATCAAATCAAAATGTATTTGTCACATACACGTGTTTAGCAGATGGTATAGTGGGTGTAGCGAAATGCTTGTGCTTCTAGCTCGACAGTGCAGTAATATCTAACAAGTAATATCTAACGACTTCACAACATATACACACAAAACTAGTAAGGAATGGGATTTAAGAATATATACATGGACAAGCAATGACAGAGCGGCATGGACTAAGATACAGTAAAATATTATAGAATATAATGCAGTATATACATATGAGATGAATAGTGCAAGATATGTAAATGCATACTGCAGTATAATGCAAATACTGCAGTATGAAGCAAATACTGCGTCCAAAATAAAATAAATGTTTTACTGCAGTAATTTTGCAGCATAATACAGTTATACTGCACTCGGACTGCTATTACTGCGTCCAAAATACCACAGTCGACTGCAGTTACTGCACTTTTACTGCAGTTTCAAAACTGCTATCTTTTTTTAAGGTTCCTGCACACTTCCCACATCTTGGAATCTCCCTCCTACACTTGCTGCTACATGACCATAACGCACCTGTGCCGCAGTGGATTCGGCACAAAAGCTTTAACAGGATAACTGATATTGCCTAACATGACTTTGTCTGGTAGAGACTCTGACTCAAAGGGTCACAGATTTTTGGAATCCTTCAGAATAAGAGTCATGTTGTGTATACTTTGTAAATTAATAATTAGTGCGAAAATCATGGGAAATGTGCACAATTATGAATATATTTTATAATACTTATCATACAAAGAATAAAGTATTTATATAAGATATTATGTGATTTATTTGTTAATTCATTTTATTTCTCCAAGCCTAAATGGTCAACAGTGCTTTTTTGGTGTGTATTCCTATAATTTATTGCAATTATGTATGGTGCAATATGTACTGTATGCTGATTGGGTGGCAAAAATGAGCAGCGACGCGTTCTGGATAAGTTGCAGGGGTTTGATCGCACAAGTGGGGAGCCCAGCCAACAGCGAGTTGCAGTAGTCCAGACAGGAGACGACACGTGCCTGGATTAAGACCTGCACCGCTTCCTGTGTGAGATAGGGTTGTACTCTACGAATGTTGTAGAGCATGAACCTGCATGAGCAAGTCACTGCTTTGATGTTTGCAAAGAATGGCAGGGTGTTGTCCAGGGTCACGCCAAGGTTATTTGCACTCTGGGAGGGGGACATCGTGGAGTTGTCAACCATGATGAAGAAGTCTTGGAGCAGGCAGGCCTTCCCCGGGAGGAAGAGCAGCTCCGTCTTGTCGAGGTTGAGCTTGAGGTGGTGGGCCAACATCCAAGCTTTGGAAACTAGAAGTGCTCCTGAGTAGAATGGACCCCTGTGCTTCTACATCTGCATTGCTTGCTGTTTGGGGTTTTAGGCTGGGTTTCTGTATAGCACTTTGTGACATCTGCTGATGTAAAAAAGGCTTATGAATCAATTTGATTGATTGATTATTGCAATACAACATACAGACAATTATGTACGGTACAATATGTATGTCCAATATGAGCGAACGATTGGATGTAAGCTGATTGGCCACTCTTTAAGGGCCGCAAAATGAGCAGCTAAACTCCTTGGAATATAAACTCTGGATTTGGAAAGTTTAAGTGCTCCTGAGTAGAATCAACCCCCTTTTTACTGCGACACAATATACAGGAAATTGCGCACGGTGCAATATTTATGTCTATTATGAAAAACCAATAGAATTTAAGCTGATTGGCCACTCTTTAAGTGCCGCAAGATGAGCAGCAACGCTCCTCTTTTACCATCTTCATTGCGGGACTTTTATTTTGAAGGGAAATCGCCGAGGTCACGGCCTTATGACGCTTTCAAGACAACTGGGAACTCGGATAAAAACGAGGTCAAATAATTACGTCAGTGATCTTCAGGTCGCAAAAACAGAGCTCTAGAAAGATGCCCGAGGTTCCGACTTGGATTACCGTTCAAAACGAGTTCCCAGTTGTCTTTAACGCATTGAAGTTTGAAGTTGGAGATTTCCAAGTTCCCAGTTGTTTTGAACGCGGCATTATTCTTGCTAGGTCCGTGCTATCAGGGATCTTTGGGACGTCCATACCCCCCATTTAAATTGATATTAAAAATGGTAAAGGCAGGGCTGTCAAACTCATTCCATGGAGAGCAGAGTGTCTGCAGGTTTTTGTTTTTTCCCCCTTTCAATTAAGACCTAGACAACTAGGTGAAGGGAGTTCCTTACTAATTAGTGACTTTAATTCATCAATCAAGTACAAGGGTGAAGCGAAAACACGCAGACACTCGGCCCTCCGTGAAATGAGTTTGACACATGTGGGTTAAGGTAAGAGTTATAGTTAAAGGGTAGCGATGTCCCAAGGATCCCGGATAGCTAATTGCTTATTCTTGCTGGCTTCCCAGTGGTATTTTTGTTTACTAAAATCATAGACGTCAGTCGCGACGTAATATCCGTTTCTGGGCAAACTCAAAGCATTTTGTTTTATTAAATTAAAAAGTCGCCCTTTTACCTTCATATGAAATGTTATAGCGCCGACACTTTTGACCTAGCTAAAATATTATGGACAGGATAAAATTATACGCATTTAGTAGAAAAGGCTGGGTTAAAATTGAACATGTTCGAGCGGGAGCGGACAGATACCTCGCTCATACACTCACTTCAGCTCGACCGACTAACTAATCTATAGAACATCTGAGAAACCTAGCTAGCTAGCTACACGAGATAACTTTGGTTTCGTCGGGAAATCCACACAATGTGGAGTTGATGCACGTGTACAAACGGTGTTCTTTTTTTAATTTATCGGACACGATCAATTTACCTTACGCAAGCTCATATTTGATTTAATATAATAAGCTAAACTGATTTATATAAGAAATTATAACCCAGGTTATTTTGCTAATCATATCTCAACATAATTTAAAGACAGAGACTATTTTCCCTGTCGAATAACTCGTTTTGAGGTGAGTTAACGCTCCATTATATCCTTGCTCTCTTAACGTTAGCTACCTGCACGTTTGTGTTGGGAGATCGTTTCTAGCTACTGTTATACAGCTACAGCGTGTATCTAGCTACGGAAAGATAATATACAATGCATTTCCATATACATTGCACCTTTGTTAGCTAGATAGCTAACACATTCAGAATTTGCATGCTAGCGGAGTAGTGCTGCTTTTATTTTCTTTTTAAACCAATATGGAGGAGGAGAGTGGCGTGTGTACTAGTAGTGGAG